AATCTTACCGCACAATTTAGCAAATGGCCTTCCGAGCTCTCCAACACGATTCCTGCCCTCGCGCCAGCCTCTCCTGAAGACCCATCTATAAACAATTTCCATGTGGGGGGCTCGGTCGGTTCCATTATGGCCTCCATTTCTGGGGCTTTGGTAAACTCGACCATAAAATCGGCAAGGGCCTGGCCCTTGATAGCGTGTCTAGGTCGGAACGTGAGATCGAACTCGCTGAGCTCGATAGCCCATTTCAGCAGGCGTCCCGACGCGTCCGTTTTCTGCATCACTTGCCTTAAAGGGAAATTGGTGAGGACTTGTATTAAGTGGGCTTGGAAATATGGCCTCAGCTTTCTTGAGGCTGTGATAAGTGCGAGTGCCAGTTTTTCCATGTCGGAGTAGTGTGTTTCAGCTGGGAGAAGTGCTTTGCTGATGTAATACACCGGCAATTGACGCTCATTTTCTTCCCTAGTTAGGACCGCGCTGACTGCCATGTCTGAAACTGCTAGATACAGCAACAGAGATTCATCCGGCCGGGTTTCGACAGGAGGGGTGCTTTCCCGAGGTGTTTCTTTAGAGACTCGAAGGCTTCTTGGCACTCCGAAGTCCATTGGAATCTCTTTCCTTGCTTCAATACATTGAAGAAAGGTAAGCTTTTATCAGTGGCTCTGGAGATGAAGCGGCTGAGTGCGGCTATCCGGCCATTGAGACTTTGGACCTCCTTAAATTTCTGAGGTGACCTCATTTCTAGTAAGGCCGCTACCTTTGTCAGATTTGCCTCAATTCCTCTCTGATTTACAATGTATCCCAAGAACTGGCCTGATGCCACTCCGAAAGTGCACTTGAGGGGGTTCAGCTTCATGTTATACTTTCAGAGTATCTGGAAGGTTTGGTCAATGTGACTCACGTGTTCGGCCGCCTGGAGGATTTTGACCAACATGTCGTCCACATAGACCTCCATGGTTTTGCCAATGAGTTTGGCAAACATCATGTTGACTAACCTCTGGTATGTGGCCCTGGCATTTTTCAATCCGAAGGGCATAACTTTGTAGCAATACAGCCCCCTGTCCGTAATGAATGATGTAGCTTCCTCATCAGGTCGGAACATGGGTATCTGGTTGTACCCTGAGTACGCATCCATGAAACTCAGTAGTTCATGTCCAGCAGTGGAGTCCACCAGTTGATCAATTCTTGGAAGTGGGAAGCTGTCCTTGGGACACGCCTTATTCAGGTTTGTGAAGTCCACACAGACCCTCCACTTCCCGCTGGACTTTTTCACCAGAACCGGGTTGGATATCCACCTCGGATATATGGCCTCTCTGATGAAACCACTGCGGCTAAGTTTACTTACTTTATCTTTCAGCGCCTCGTACCGTTCCGAGTTCAGGGCACGCCTCTTCTGTCTGTGGGGGGCATAGGAGGGGTTGATGTTAAGGTGATGGCAACTGATCCTAGGATCTATTCCCATCATATCTTCATGTTTCCATGCGAAGACATCCAGGTTTTCTTTCAGGAATCGCATCATCTCAATTTTTGCTTCAGGCGATAATGACTTCCCTATGCGCAAGACTTGATTGGGGTCTTTTGGATTGACTGGGAAAGTTTCCAGTTCTTCCATGGGGGTCGCATTTAGTTCATAATCGATTATTCGGGGGTCTAACTCATCAAGAGGGTGTCCTTATTCAGGGGCCTCTTCCATGACGACATCTTCCTCTTGTTTAGAGGTATGCCCTTGTTCAGGGGCGTCGAGCATTTCCACGTCCGTACCGGCTTCAGTGGGTACTTCGGCCAGGATTACATTGACAGTTCAGGGCTCAGATTTACGCAGCGAGTTTAGGTAGCATGCCCTGGAGCCCATCTGATAGCCCCGAACTGTTGCAATCCCATGTTCAGTTGGGAATTTCATGCACAGATAGTGAATGGACGTCACAGCCCAAAGATCATTTAGAGCGGGTCTGCCCAATACTCCATGAGAAGCTGACCTATGATCTACCATCAGAAATTCCATGAAATGCTGGGCGACCAGGGGGGCCGAACTCATTTCCACAGGCAGGGTGATTCGCCCTCGTGGGATGATGCTGTCCCCAGTGAATTCGAACAGTGGGTCGGTCATGGGGATTAACCCATGTTCAATTTGCATTTTGTCAAAAGTGGAGCCGAACAATATGTTCACGGAACTGCCATTGTCAACGAGCATGCGTTTCAATCCGTTTCTAGCCACTACGGCTCTTACAACCAAAGCGTCGCAATGGGGATGGTGAACTCCCTCTGAGTCTTCCTGGGAGAAGGTGATTGGGGCCATCTTGTTTGCTGATTTCGATTCGTCGACAATGTAGGTGATCATCGGGGGATCCTTAGCTTCTCTTGTATAATTTCTCTAGGCATTCCTGGTGTTGCCACCGACGTGGGGTCCCCCAATGATGGTATCGATTTCCCTGATGACCTGGCCTCCAGCGAATTGGGCTTGGTTCCCTTGCCTGGATTGGCCTCGATTTCTCGATTCTCTTCTGCGAGGAGATTGTTCCTGGTGACCTCTTCCTCCCCTCCTCGGGGAGGTAGATCTGCGGGGGTACTCGTTTCTGCTGGAAGTGTGGGGGTTGCTTCGATCAGGGCGCCGATTGGCATCACGACACTCGCTGGTGTCATGGCCGTATAGTTGATGAAAAGTACAAAATCTTGCTCCTGCCAGGGGCCTGTTTGGCCTCTTTTTCTTCTTCTTGTTGTTGTCAGTTCTTCCAGATGGTCCTGCCTCAGCGGGTGCGTTATCATATGCCAACACCGGCACTGCGTTCAATGTGGCGGAAGCTAGGGCCTGTCCGGATGTGGGAGCTATGGTATGCCCTGCTTGGGTCCATTGCTGAGTAACAAGGTGCGCTGCGGGGCCTCGACCTACCTGCCTCTGTGGGGGAGGGAGTCCCTGCGCGGCACGGTTGCGATGATCAATCATTTCTTCACTAACAATTTCTACTCTCATCATCTCCACCAGCTCGTCGTATGTGGATGGATTTTTGCTGCGCACATCCCTCCAAAACAAAGTGTTCATGTTGAGACCACCTTTCAGGGCTGAAAGGGCTTCCCTGTCAGTGACCTGCTCGCAGTAAGTAATTTCATCTGTAAACCTGGCGAGATAGCTTTTCAGCGTCTCTCCAGGGGCCTGCCTCATGTCTTGCAGGCGTTGAATTGACGCCTCTCCTTCCCTGCGTGAGAGGTACTGGTTCAAAAATGCTTTCTTCAAGTCTGGCCAACTTCTGATGCTTAGGGGAGGAAGCCTGTTGTACCACACCTCGGCGGCTCCGCCTAGTGTTAAATGGAAGGCTCTGCACTTTAGAGCAGGTGAGGCTCCCCTAAGACTCATTTGTGTCATATACTTTGTGAGGTGCTTCTCCGGATCCCCTTTTCCCTCATACTTGGGGATCTTAGGGGCCATGAAGTTAGTTGGCATTGGGAAGCTTCGAATTTCCCTTGAGAAAGGAAGGTTATCATCATCGTCGTCAATCTCATAAGATCGACAGGGCCCCTCTGATCCTTCATCATCTTGGATGCCTTGGGGTGGAGGAGGTGCTTCTCCCCGGCTCTCCCAATCGACTAAGTTTCTCCTCTCCCTCCTATTTCTAGGAGGAGGGGGAACATGCTCTTCTTCGCGGTCTGACCGAACCCACCCTCTTGCCGGGCGGACCCTATTGCTATGATCGTTCCCTATCCGGTCAAAGACGCTCACTGACCTCTGGTCATCGTGTTCTTGAGGAAAGTTGTCCCCCAAGAGTGGTTCTGATGGATGAATCTCTTGCACATAAGATGTCGCTTCGGTGTTCCCCTCTCTTTTGAGAGGACGTTCTGTGTGCCGGCTCATGTGGCCTCGAGAGTGAGACAAAGGGATTTCCTGTACCGGATAAGATCCTTGGGGCCTCTGGTGTCCCTGGGCTTGCATGAGAAGTTCCTGCATCGCCATATTCTGAGCTGCTATGTCTCTCATACCCGCAGCTATCTGGGCCATTCCTTCAGTGAGTATGGCTGTTCTTTCGCCTCGTCGACGTCGGTGATGCGGTCTCTGATGAGTAACATTGTTATGGAGTACCTCTTCTTCAGAGGCCTCTCTCATGGGATTGTCTTCACGGCTGTAGCTCATCCTACCTCTTTTTTTTAAGCGTAGTAAGAACTTGGATTGTAATTCAACTTTGTTCTTTTTCAAGAATGCCCCCTTTTCAGGGTCAGTCGTCGATTTTCCGGTGTCTTCTCCGATGGGGAACGCAAAACTTCAAATGGGGAGTGAGTTTGCCACAGACGGCGCCAAACTGTTGACCTCCAAAAATGGCTCCTCCACGTGGCCAACTTATAGCTACTCCACGTATTCTTCCCTGCGAAATGAACAAACGGTCAGGCGTACACGGTCGGAACCGACGGGGGTGGTGGCGGCTGTATACACTCCGACGGTCAAGTAAGGTTTGGGTGGTCGGAACAGTGCCCAGGGGCTACACAAATCAATCAATAAAGGGGAGGAGAATATATAAACTTGTTATGGAATGCTATGTATTGAGAGTTTCATCTCCTTTATCTCTTGCCAAACCTTGGGTATTTATAGGTGGTATGAACCGCTGGATGTGGAACGCGTGTGTACATCTGACGGTATGAAGCGTCTGCTCATAGGTGTCAATCAGCCGCGCTTGTAGAGTGGGCGGACAGTTTGTTTCCCCCGAGTTGAATTGACATAAAGTTGATAAGTCACATCAAATAGCCTCATGGAGACGTCAAATCAATTTAAACCTTAGGTGCAGGACAAATCTTAAATTGGCGGCGGATCTTCTAACCGGGGTCCACTTGATCTCGACCTCGGAGGTGAGATGCTTCGGCAGATCAGTAGTAGGAATCGATATATCACTTCGGAGAAGCTTCGGGAGGGTCGTTTTCAGGTCGGAGTAATTGGTGCTGCGTAGGGTCTACTTGATCTCGGCCTCGGTGGTGAGATGGCACTTCGGTATCGAGGCGCGAATAATCGAGGCGTAACAATCTATATAATCAGTCTTTGCAAAAGTAATGAAGAACATCACCAGGTAGTCCAATTACATAGATCACGAGAGGATCAAGGATTCATCAGACTTCTCTCAGCTTCAGACCCTAATTCCATCCTCTCCTAGAGTGTACCTGATCCCTCTGATTTGGGTATGTAAACAGAAGGCATCTCGTCAATCATCTCTTCAATTGCCAAAACCATTCTCTCCTCTTCAGACCTTTTTCGTCCCTTTGATTTGGGTACGTGAACAGGAGACATTTCGCGAATCAGTTTTTCAATTTTTAAAGCTATTCTCTCCTCTGAAGCCTTGAACTTCTTTCTACGTTTTTCTTTTTGTTCCATAAGCAGCACAGGGTAATTAAGAACTAGGAGTCATTATATCAGACGCTATTATAGAAAAGTAATAAGATAAAATATTACTTGTTTGGAGGTTGAATGGATATCATTAAAGATGGAAATAAAGTTAAATTCTTGACTAAAAAAGCATGCACTGCAAGAATATCAAAGAGAAATGAACTGAAGATATTACCACTGCCATGTATGGTGGAGAAGCGAGAGATTCAGTGTCAGTAATACCTAACACCAGAAAGTGGAAGTTAGTTGACTAGACAGAATAAAAACGAAATAAAAACTGATGATTTAATCTGTTATTGCAATTAATTGTACTCAATGAGTCTAGTATCCTTGTCTTTTGGCTCTTGCAGCAAAGTTCATAGCTGTGAAACTCTTCTAACACTTCCATTTCTTGTTGCATCGCCTCATCTTCTGAATCGGGTAAATTTGACTTAGAACATTTCCTTGGAATGTCCTCTGAAGACGGATTCACAGAAAGTTCTTTTATCTTCCCAATGGCCTCAGAGAAATCTTTTTTCCCCTTAAAAGAAGACGAATTAGCTTGATTTTTGCCAATTGAAATGCCTTTGGTGACACAAGTTCTCGCTTTGCTCACATTATCTCTCTTTGTTGCCTACAGCATGAAAGGCTTTCTTAGTGACTGCAGAAAAAGGAAAATCCAGGGCCGACTCCTATAGCCTACAACTCCTACAGGTGTAATCTTGGGGGGGGGGGGGGCTT